TTGTTATAGACCGACAGAGAAAGGTTCAAAACGGATATTGATGCAGAAAGTTTTGTCACAGGGGAATTTTAATACGCATTTATATATAAATAATGCTTAGCCGTGCTTAGCCGTGTTTTAATATACTTTCTACTACGCTTAGCCGTTCGCCGGCTTCGTGGATCGACGTGGATCTAGCCTGCGAACAGGCTCTCAAGCTGAATTGAGAGCCTGCATCGATGACTAATGAATTTGAATATCTGCGTCTCAAATCGTGACGCGAAATTCTCATTGGTCAGATGCTATAATTTATATGTTTCCGCTGAACTCTATATATGTCAACTGCTTAAGCATTATGCATAAAAAACACATTAACTGATCAAATTGGTCTTGGCCGTCTTATCTCAAAGCACGAAATGTTCTGTTTTGAGAAAACAGTATTTAAAACATTTGAACTTTTGCTTGAATATCTTATATTTCGAAAAACAGTATAAACTGTACGGTCTAAATTTAGTTTCCACGGTCTAAATTTAGTTTGCACGAAAGTTGTAAACAACACCATATAAGGATAGACATTCCATATTTGGAAAAACGAACGTTACGGGGCAGATATTCAAATTCATTAGTCATCGATGCAGGCTCTCAATTCAGCTTGAGAGCCTGTTCGCAGGCTAACGTGGATCGTGTCAATTAAAACTAGAAGTTACCATCGCAAGGCAAGTGCTGCCTTTATAAACCAAAGTTTAACTTAGAAAATTTCGGGCAAATCGAAAAAACATTTTCGATCTAGATCGACTTAGAAAGGTTCAAAACGCATATTGATGCCGAAAGTTTTGGTATAGGGGAATTTAAAAGCGTATTTTGATATAAGAAATGCTAACCCGTCCTTCATTATACTTTGTACTACGCTAACCCGCCAGCCGAATTCTTTAGTCAATTGAGCTGAGTTTCTCTTGGGAAATTTCGACCAAAGTTTGACTTGCAAACATATTTTGATATAAATCGACTTAGGATGGTTCTGATCTGCCTATTGGTGCAGAATGTTTTGGCATAGAGGAATTTTAAAGCGCATTTTGAGACAAGAAATGGCTAACCCGTCCTTCATTATAATTTGTACTACGCTAACCGCTACCCGGATTCTTGATCGATCAACTAGAAACTAGAAGTTACTATCGCAAGGCAAGTTCTGCCTTTATAAACCAAAGTTTAACTTAGAAAATTTCGGGCAAATCGAAAAAAAAATTTCGATCTAGATCGACTTAGAAAGGTTTAAAACACATATTGATGCAGAAAGTTTCGGTATAGGGGAATTTTAAAGCGTATTTTGATATAAGAAATGCTAACCCGTCCTTCATTATACTTTGTACTACGCTAACCCGAATTCTTGAGTCAAGTAAGCTGCGTTTCTCTTGGAAAATTTCGACCATAGTTTGACTTACAAACATATTTTGATATAAATCGACTTAGGATGGTTCTGATCTGCCTATTGGTGCAGAATGTTGGGGCATAGGGAAATTTTAAAGCGCATTTTGATACAAGAAATGCTAATCCGTCCTTCATTATAATTTGTACTACGCTAACCCGCTACCCGGATTCTTGATCGAATCAACTAGAAACTAGAAGTTACTATGGCAAGGCAAGTGCTGCCTTGATAAACCAAAGTTTAACTTAGAAAATTTCGGAAAATTTGGCACAGGGTAATTTTAAAGCGCATTTTGAGATAAGAAATGCTTAGCAGTGTTTTATGCTTAGCCGTCGCCGGATTGTTGAGTCATCTATATTCGGAATTTTTCGATGTGCATCCAATATTTCGCTGTACATCGAACACTTCTATGTGAGATATCGCTTTGTAAGTAGAAGAAAATATTGCTATATTGGACCTGGCCCGAAGAAATCCAGCTGATGGTTCTGTATTGACTTCACATTGTATCCTTTCACCCCATTCACCGTCATTCACGGCATGAGATAAGCAGGTCTGAACAATCTACTATTGTTTTTAATTTCACAAGAATTTCAGTTCGTCCACTGGTGGCTTAGTGGTAGGTCGTTTGGCCTATCTCGTTTGGCCTATCTCAAATCCCGTTGAACTCATTTTTTGTAGCGGACTCACAATATTTCTTTCCTTTACTTATTCTGGCTATATTTTATCTTTTTATACTTCTATGTGAGATATCGCTTTGCAAGTACAAGAAAATATTGGTATATTGAACCTGGCCCGAAGAAATCCAGCTAATCATTCTGTATTGACTTCGCATTGTATCCTTTCACGGCGTTCACCGCCTAATAGAATCTTGTTCAACGCATGAGATAAGCAGGTCACCACAATCTGCTATTGTTTTTAATTTCACAAGAATTTCAATTCGTCCGGCGGTGGCTTAGTGGTAGGTCGTTTAGCCTATCTTGATAAACGTTTTGGTTCAAATCACGTTGAACTCACACACGCGTTTTAAAATGCACTGAATATCACAAGTATAAAATTCCTAATTGTTACATGTGTACTTTAAATTAAAAGCATGTACTAAAACTTTATTTTGCCAACTTTGAGTTTTTATAAATGAAAGAGTACGAAAGTCTATTACTTTAATTTTTATATATTATGTATTCAGTGATGTTTTTGTGCCCCCCCCCCCTCAAAATTTAATTTTCCTGAGGTGACCCCCCCCTTTCACATCACTATTTTTTCTGGTGGCCCCCGCAAAAACCACCAGCCCAGCCCTCCTGATAAAAAAATGAACGGTCCCTTTTTTAAAACCGTACTACTGGATTAATTGTTAAATAATGATGCTCTATATTGCGGTGACCAAACTAAGTTTGCCATCGATTTATATTCGCTGCAGGTTATTCTGTTAGTTTGTTCGGAATTACAGCCTTGGTTACCCTGGTTCCAGAGGTTTAAAATAAACCTCTGGTTGAAAGCGGCAATTGATTCATCGAGCCGCGCCAATCAGTTTGAATTAGGGTCAGAACATGACTCTGTCTCCTGATTGGATGATTGTATTAAAGCTCTCTGATTGGTTATAGATGTTTTATTTGAATCAATCAGAGAGCTTTAATACAATCATCCAATCAGGAGACAGAGTCAGGATCTGACCTTTATTCAAAAATAGTCACGCTTCTGGCGCATTTGTCACTTGCGCATGCTCCGGGGCACCACACTGTTGGAAACCACACCGTATGCGCAAAATGAAAAATTAGATGTTTGGAACAGGCCCACAGGCATAGGCACAACAAAAATTGCCTCGGGTAATCTGGCCACAAGTAGAGTTTCAGACTGTAAAGTTTTGACTTTGGAGAAAAATAATTTCCTGCGCCAAAATTCTTCTGCACAAAATTTTTCAAATTGTAAAAAACTACAAATAATTTCTAAAGAATCTGCACAAATTGTCTTCATGTGAAGCAAGAAGATTTCTGATCTTCATGTGAAGCAAGAAGATTTCTGATTTGTCAAAAACACTTTCTGACGGCAAGGTTCCTCTTGGTCTGGCATAAATATTCTGTGAAAATATCTGACCTTTCTGCGCATTTTTCCAAGGAAAAAATACAGGGTGAGTCAAAAGAACTGACCGGCTTTGTTATTCAAATTAGCCGCGAAGGTATCACTTTTTTTTTACTCACCCTGTATGTCCTGCGCAAAATAAAACCTTTTAGTCTAGGCAAGTTTTGCTGAAAAGTTTCCAATCAAAAATAAATCTCACCTGTTCGTTCCATCTTTGAACATCTTTACACTCTCGATCTAGGGCAAACTTTACAACTGCTGTTCAACCTATAGGATTAAGACAAGTAAGGCTATATATAATAAGGCTACAAGTAAGGCTATTTATAAGGCTATATAAACCTTTACAAGGCTAATTGCTGCTGTATAAAAGGTATTTGAACAATTAAACAATGATTTGAGCTTTGAACTCCTATATAAAATGTCAAACATTCGGACTCACATATACGTAAAGAATTTGTTTGAATATAACCACAATGTTTCTGAATTTATCAGACGGAATGTTGAAGTCAATTTCTGTCGATTTATACGGCGAAACCCGCTCCGATACCTAACAGTTAATGTGCTGCAACGAATTAAACAATTTAAAACGTCATTTGTCTCGAATAAAAACGAAAATTCGACGCCGAAGAAGCATTTAATTATAAAGTAGAGTGACAATTTTAGGCATGAACAAAACAATTTGTCAATGTCAAGTTTTGGAAACAGTTTCAAAAGTTTTCAGGCGAAATTTTTCTGTATAGAGTACTTAAAAACGTGCTTACAAACACTCTAAATCGTAGCCAAACTTTGTTTAAACAACAGTTGAAAGAAACAAGAATAAAGTTCACTTAAAACTGATATGAAGTCAAGAGTTCCTTCGTTCGCTTGTCACTTGTCGCAAATTCTTTGGCAAGTTTAGAATGCAAAAATACAGCTGAATCTTTCACGAAATACATTAAAAACATACACAAACAATTAAAGGCTTACCTGTTATTGCTTTCTAACGTTTTTTGGACGGTTTTGTATGCTTTCTTGTCCAAAAAAATGTCGTAAAATAGATGTATAATTTCGACTTTCGGCTCTGAACAACACTAGCCCCACGTGAATTCACCTTCAAGAGCGGGATTTCATTCCTTCTTCTGATTGGCTATCACTCCAAAATGCTGCAACCTTATTGGTTGTCCATTCTCCTAAAGTCGCAAGGCTGCTCTCTGATTGGTTCTGCATTGTTCTCAGGAATTCAGTAAACGTGATAAGTCCAGTGGGTTATGAATCCAGTCCTGATTTTAGATTTTAAACTAGTCCAGGTTTCGGTTTGAGTCCAAGTTATTGAAACCTGAATCCAGGGTAATATTAATGGTTGAGCATGAGTTGTTAACCTGAACTCAGTGTTTAGTTACATGGACTCAACTCCGTAACTTGGACTCATTGCGGAACCTGGATCCACTGGTTAACCTGAACTCACAACTGGATTTACGAGACTGGTTCATTGTGTACTGTATCTGAACTGATCTCAATAGCAAAGACGCAAGAAACTGAATTGATAACATAACTCAAGTTTATTATAGCATTCTTTTTCATCTACTATAGACATAATATTTCTACATTATTTAAAATGCTAACGTTTTTGAGTACATATTTAAAATCTACAGATTTCTAGCTCCCGTCAAACGTAAAAGTCAACGCATGCTGTGTAAACAGTAGCACAGAATAAAGACACAGAAGGTCGACTCAGCCAAAAAAGCGTAACCGCTGCCACGCCATGATTCGTCATCAAAATGCTGACGCCATGGTCCTAGCCAGTGCGCATATGAAAGGCATTCCCCCCTGGATGTCCGCCATTTTGAACATTATCAGGGGGTGAATGCCTCTTAATATCAAAAGTTGGTTAAAACTAATAGACCTTCTTATAACATCAAACGCGGACAACACTTATTTTGGCTCGCCAACGACTGTAGGACGTTTGACGTCATGGTTCAGGGAACTAAGTAATATAAACTGTCAGGTATATTTACATACTGACCATAAAAATGAAAATATTCCCTTCAAGGATAGTTGAATAGTGTTTTATAAAGTTGGGACTATTAACCACCTTTTTGGAATACAATCTTGACGAGCATTACATGGTGATTCAGTTATATATAGAGTGTTTGCACTCATTCCCCAGGGACCAACTCAGTCTAATTAAGTCTAATTAAAATTCTTTTGAATTGGAACACCAACATGGCGGCTGTGACGTCATGTGCAAACACTCTATAGGCCGGTGTTTCCACTTGCAATTCTTGCTGCGATTCGATTTTCGTCTTCTGATGGACGTGAAGGAAGGGATAGGTTATGAATGTTCTGAGTACATGTACCTCCTCTCCACAGAGTAGAGACATACAGAGACGTAACTAGTGTACCCACTTTTTTTGTGCGCATGCTCGGCAAGTTACTAGATGCATGCATCTGATTGGATGACGACCTGATGACGACTCATTTTAAACTTGCTGAGCACGCGCAGTTGATCATTTTTCGCCCGGTCGCCTAAAAAAAGTGGGTACATGATAACGTAATCTTCCGCAGTGTTTACAACGGTCAGTTACGTCTCTGTATGTCTTATCTACTCTGTGTCCTCTCTAAGCATTCATAACTCATACACTTGTTTACATCCATCAGAAATAGAAAATCGCAGCAAAAATAGACCAAAGAAGTGCCTGGGTCACGCAATTTTTAATACAGAGAAAAAATACACAGTGCATTGTGGGTTACTTCTGGGTCAATAAAGCGCTCTGCTTGCCCTTCGACCCCCAATATATTTGAAATGCCTGACCGGGAGCTAAAATATTTATATATACTATATATTAAAATAGGTTAAATACCCGTCTACCCCTCCTAAAAATAACTTAAACTTTTGTCTATAATAAAACTAACTTTATAATACTACGATATGTCGTTCGTGACAATGTCTCACGCTGAACAACGAGCCTTGCTGTAGCAAGGATAATATTTACATTATATCTAAATACGGCCTGAATATGTTGTCCCTTCAAAGACTGCGCGGGTGGACGCAGGTAAACCGCGGTTTGACGGGCGTTAAGCGCCTCAGTTAAATACATATCTGCTTTTCAAAAGTCAAAGATCAAAATGCACGCAGTCAAACCGTGCGATGCGCGAAGACCTCGCGGTTCAACCTCAATAGACCTCTTTCAAGGTTAACGACGCCATAGTGAAACACAATAGCGCAAGGGCTGCAAACACAATGAAATTCCATATAGAGTGTTTGCACTCGTTCCCAGGGACTAACTCAACAAAAGCCATGGCGGCCATGTTGGTGTTCCAGACAATAGAATCTAATTAAAATTCTTTTGAATTGGAACATCAACATGGTGGCTGTGACGTCATTGCAAACGCAATGGTGAGAACAATAGATTCAAGATGGCGTCTTTAACCTTGGAAGGGCCTATTGAATACACCGGAAAGTACGTCACTTTGTCTGCAGAGCCTCGTTTTCGTGTATCTTTTTTATATAAACAATATTTTATTAAATTTAATACGATTGCTCCAACAGCATCAAGGGTTATCAAGGGGGCTTTCGCGTATCTGACATCAGTCAAAGCCCATGCTTCAATCACGTAGACGAGCTTCTATAGCCAAGATGACGTACTTCCGGAAACGTGCATTGATATTGTTTTTATCATCGTTTGCATCAAAGGACAAACCGTCACAGATAGAAATATTGTCTATGTGAAACTTCTGGAACGAACATTTGAAGGTTTTATTTTTGCTGAACTTCAAATCCCCGTTACAAGCTTGCAAACCACACCAATCACAGTAAATATAGAAATCTTTTGAGAAAGCAGCATCGTTTTTTAACTGCTTTGGTAATAAACAAAACAAAACAAAACAAAACAAAACAAAACGATAAAATTCTATACAAATCCTAAAAACAAGCAAACACGGATCTTATTTTGAAATGTCGTGGTTAAAAATTATCGCTAGGTTTTACTAAGCACTATTGTGCAGCAGATGGTGGTTAACCTGTAGTTATCAGAGTGAGAAAACAATGTGGGCCTCTTCGTCGCAATCACTTGTCTTGTAATTGTGGCCAATTAAATAGGCTCACCACCCTCTGTTGTCGTGTAATGCTTACTAAAAACTAGCAATTGAAAGGACAGCAATTCAGGCCATCGAAACAATAAAATACGATATTCTATACCGTGTTTTGGGGCGAATGTCAGTCAAACATTGAGAGGAGATCATCGCTGAGATCTGAAGTCTCCAAGTACGGAAGAAAATCTGCTGGGTCAAGATTGCCCGGAAGCTCCTGGAAATGAGAAGAGATTTAGTTGAAGAAGTTTACGAAGAAGTTTGGTAAGAGTACGATCCCTAATCTACTCCTTTTACAATTTCTTTCTTCTTCATTCACATAGTGTTAAACACATTGTGAAAATCACACCAGTATCACCATCAGCATCATCACCATCATATGGCATCATTATCATAACCACCACCATCATCATCAGCACACTATCACCATCACCACCACCACCACCATCATCACCGCCATTATCATCATCGCCACCATCATCATTAACATAACCACACTATCACCACCACCACCACCACCACCACCATAATCATAATCATAACCACACTATCACCACCACCACCACCACCATAATCATAATCATAACCACACTATCACCACCACCACCACCACCACCATAATCATAATCATAACCACACTATCACCACCACCACCATAATCATAATCATAACCACACTATCACCACCACCACCATAATCATAACCACACTATCACTACCACCACCACCACAATCATAACCACCCCCCC